GTGATGCCATGGCACTCTACCCAGGGGGATAGCTTGAGGCTCCGTCTCAAAAAAAAAAAAAAAAAAAAAAAGACACAGGACACATCTGCTGGGGAAGACCAGTGGGCAGTGATTAGTTTGCAGCAGGAAAGAAGAGGCTTCAGAGAAAAGGCACCTTGACAGTGAAGTTAGCCAGGCAAGGAAGGAATCAGGGTATTTTAGGCTGGGGTAAGGCCTATGCAGAGTCCTGCAGGCACAGAGAGCTGAGCCTGTTAGAGCAGAGAGAGCAAAGAGGAGGGCACAGTCTCTGACCTCACAATACCCAGGGCCCACTGGACCAGCCTTGCAGACTCTGTGCCCTCCTTCAGCCCGGGCAAGGCCCGGGGCCCTGGGCAACCTCCAGGTGCAGTGCCCTCCCGTGGGCCGCACCCCTCCCGCTGCCCCGGGGCATGTCTCTACTTGCCAATTATGAGGGGCTTCGGCAACAGATAGAGAAGCTGGTGCGGGAAAATGAGGAACTGAAGAAGCTGGTGCGGCTCATTCGGGAGAATCACGAGCTCAAGTCTGCAATCAAGACTCAGGCAGGTGGCCTTGGCATCAGTGGATTCACCAATGGGCTTAGCGAGGCAGCAGCAGGTGCTCCTTCACACCAGAGTAAGAGTCCTGGGTCCACGGAGAGTGGGGAGGGAAGGGAAGGGTGAGGCTGAGCCAGAGAGGACAGATTGTGTGCTGGGGTCGAGAAGTCACTAAGGGATTAGATAGATAGTAACAAACTTGCGGGACACTGGTCCCACCAGGTGAGAGGAGGGTGAGGACACAGGACCGTCAGGATGAAAGGGCAAAACTAGCCCCCATTCTCATTCACCTGATGACAGATGTCCCTACCCACACTTCTTTCCTCAACTGAAGGGACACTTCCAAACACCTCCAAAGACTGAGAATTTCCCAGCTCTGGAATCCAAATGTGCTTCTCTACTGGGTCCAACATGTCATTAATCCTCAGCCTCCCCACCCCAGGCCCCCCATCCCTTGCCATTAGTACCCCATCTTTCTCCCCACTTACTCTCCAGTTGGAAACAGCCAGTAGGCAACAGATGCCCTAAGTCTAGAAGCTGAAGATAGAAACTAAGACTGAAGCTTACGGTTTGGGAATTTGTTAATGTGAGTCATAAGCCCTGTGGCTAGAGATTTACAGAGGAGAGTGAGGCAGAAGAATGGACAAAGAAATTGCAGGTGTTTTCAGAAAAACTGAAGTGGTGATCTGTGGGTTAGGCCTAGAGTATAGAGACTGAGGGTAGGAGGGCACTCAGAGGCTACACACTTGAGTGCAGTGACAGGAACAGGGAGGCTCTGAAGGAATGGAAAGCTATGGCAGAGAGTGGTCAGCATGGAAGTTATCAGAGAGAGAATTTCTGGGGGCAAAGAAGTCTGTCCCAGGGTGCAGCTACAAGAATCTATGGCTGCCTTGGTATATTAGTTAAAGTTACCGGCTTGGCGCCTGGGGCTCAAGTGGCTAAGGCGCCAGCCACTTAGACATAAGGTGGCGGGTTCGAATCCAGCCCGGGCCTGCCAAACAACAATGATGGCTGCAGACAAAAAAAATAAATAAATAACCAGGCATTGTGGCGGGCGCCTGTGGTCCCAGCTACTTGGGAGGCAGAGGCAGGAGACTCGCTTGAGCCCAGGAGTTGGAGGTTGCTGTGAGAGTGATGCTACGGCACTCTACCCAAGGAAATAGCTTGAGGCTCTGTCTCAAAAAAAAAGGTTACCAAGGGCAAGAACAGGTAAAGAAATGCCAGTGGTTGTTATACCCACTTACCTGCATTACAATGTCTTTCCTGACCTGGAGAAGGCTACGTTCTTTCCCATCCAAGATGAACTTCTCCTTGTGTGCTCAGAACCGTCGCTCAACCCCTGCAGCAACCTGACCTCCCTTCTTGGCTCTCCCGTCTATGCACCATCAGTCATGAAACCTTCCTCCTTCCCTCAGAAGATGACTTTGCTCTTTCTGGTCTCTGCCTATTTAAGACTCTACAGCATGGCAATTGATCCTGAAGCTGCTGTTTACAGAGATCACAGGGAGCTTCGTAGGTGCTGCATCCTTCTCCATCTCTATATGGCATTTGAGACTGATAACTCCTTCATACCTCTCTGAGTTCCTAAATTGGGTCATCCACCCCTCTGGTTCATCTTAATCACTGCTGTTACCAGGCTCTGGGTTCAGGTTCTGCACCCTGCCCCCACCCAGCCCACCATGTGGCTTCAACACTGTACTTACTAGAAGTGAAGATCCCCTCAGAAGATCCTACGGGCACAACAAGCATTGGAACTTAATTCACTTGAAACTAAACACATTTCAAAGAACTTGGGACTTTCCAGCAGGACCCTAAAGCCCCTCAGGCCCGTGTGTACTCACCCCCTTGCCGTTTTCCTCCCCTACTTCCTACTCACTGGTTCCCTGCCATCCAACCTGAAAGTGGTGTAGGGCTGGCATTCCATTTCCCCTATGAATCACAGGCACACAGGCTTCCCTAGTTTTAAATATTATACCTCTGATGGCACCTGTGGCTCAGTGAGTAAGGTGCCGGCCCCATATACTGAGAGTGGGTGGTGGGTTTGAACCCAGCCCCGGCCAAACTGCAACAAAAAATAGCTGGGCATAGTGGTGGGCGCCTGTAGTCCCAGCTACTCGGGAGGCTGAGGCAAGAGAATCACCTAAG